TTTTCAGGGAGCAAGTCCATGATTTTGAGAAAATGCTGGTTGGCTTCCTTGAGTATAGTGTCTTCCAGGGTGTCGATGATGACACGAGATTCAGGTGGACCATTGGCAGTTGGTTGAGAATGATTGACAGTAGACATAATGGAATGTGTACAGTGGTTAGGCCAACCGGAGAGTGTAGTGTGATAAGTGGTAAGATGGAAAGGTGCCAGAAGGCCAAAAAACTCTGTCCTAGGAGACGTAGTCTGCCTCGGACAGAGGGGGAAATTGGTTGGCCGGTGAACTTAGAGAGACTTACCGGTTAAAGGCGGCGACCTAGTAACAGCTGATGGCTGTAACAGCTTGGCTGATGTTGAGGATTATACACTAAAAACTTGCCCGACGCTGTGTGTTGACTGTCCACAGAGCTTGCCTGACGCTACCTTCTTGGTGTTTCAGATGAGCTGCCCGACGCTATATGTGACTGTCCAACAGTTGCTGGCACACACCAGTGGAACCTGTGTAGCCTGCCTATATGGTCGGTGGCTGGTGTGGAGTTGGCCAAGCAAGCTTGGCCAGTGGTAACCCTGGCTAGCTGGGGACCAGTCTGCTGCTATAGCGGGTCCCTCCTAAACCAAAAGTAGAAAAGTCTGCACTCACCAATATGGCTACTGTTCCTGTTGTCTCTGGCCCTGTAGTTGGGGATGGCAAGATGGCTGGCTCCCAAAATGCTGAACTTTAGAAATTAAAGTTAGCAGAAAAGTTAGGCTTAGCAAACCTAAGCCTAACACCCTAGATAAGCCTAACTAAGGCCTAACCTCCTATACTACAGTATGGGAGGTAGACCGCTAACCCTAAAACTAGGCCTAGGCAAAAAACTTTGAAAAATTTTAAGTCCAGAGCACGCTTACATACGTCTTGACTGCTCGAAAGCTAAACTCCCTCTCACCAATATTTTATTATAACCGCATTATGCATCTTATTACAAATTTCTATACTACACGTGAAAAAAAATAATAAGATTGCTATTGTATATTCGAATATCAGTGGCGGAGTGAAAACGCTGTATTGTCAGCATCCAAAAAGCCAGATTCTCACATGCAGTTTACAGAGCACCAACCTCACCTGGTTTAGCCAGTGGAAGCCTACGACCTTGAATGGCTGCTACATCCGCACACCTGTAACAAGTCCAATTCTATCCGGGTCCGGTTTTAAGCTGTTAGCCACCCGCCCGCTAGATACTTGGCCACCCTCACCCAATTACGCAAACCGCAAGTAGATTTATAACTTACAGGTAAATTCTTATCAGTTGGGTTATGTTTTTATGATAGTTTTCTGTATAGTTGACAGGAGTTTAAAAAAATTTGTTAAAATATTTGATATATTTATTCCGCTCTCCAATTTTATATTACTCACGGATTTCAATGTTAAACCGGTGATATTACGATTTCGTATGTCCCATCTTTAAGAAACGTGTACAATTCTTGTATAATGTTAAAAAATTAACTATTACTTTGACAGTGTCATTTACAACTAAATTTAATGAATGAGAGAGACGCACGAGGTACAGAAAAAGCTCTAGAATTTATTTTCCTTAAATTTATGATTTATGTATCTATTTGTCATAAAAATTTGTCTTTCCACTTTTTCCCGAGACTACAAATATTCGAGTACAAAGTAACCGGTTGACTTATTTCTACTTAAGAAGTAGTTAAATAATTAAGCGATTAGGGAATTGGGGACATAAACAAAACCCAGATAAAAAAGCCAACATTTTACTTAAACAAAAGCTTAACCAAACCAATCTCTAGCCGAGTACAGTGGGACTGATTTCTTCGAAATATTAGATGTAATAAAGACAGACATTTTTCCAGTTCGACGAGTGTGACTGAAAAGTTGTAAATTTTGGAAATTTCCGTGGACGACGACTGGTCCTAAAACGAATTAGTTAGAAAACAAATGATAAACAATCTATTAAGTATAACATATTTAGACTTTTACAGCTATGGTGAGAAACGTTTAAAATTTACAAGAACCCTGTCACGTCTTTTGAGGTATATTAGTGATGCGACAAAAGAGGCATTTGACATTGACTCGTATCGGCACCCCGCATGCATGTACACACCGCACCCCTAGCAGGACCATCTCTGATTCCACTCTAAGAAGCTATTTGACTAAGTGGTTAAGATTTAAAGAGTAAGAATATTTTATGTTATTTTTATGTACGTTTCTTTACAAAGCTATATTTAATTATAATTTTAAACTGGATGATCTTGAACATAGCTGTGTTACTTTTCGCAAGTTGTTTACATGTATCCATCAGGGGTAGGAGACTCTAAAGTGGGGTGAATACTGACCAGCGGTATATTTCTAAATATTTTGCAAATTTATTTTTTTTATTGTGAGGCGCTAACGCCTACAGTCGCCACCAGAGGGCCTCCCGCGGATGACGTGAGCGTTTCGTCAGACCACCGCGCTTATTCGACCTGCCACGAGCCAGTTCAGGTGTGTTCGATAAGAGCTCCGCTACTTACGACTAAACAAAGGATTGTAGTGCCAATGGACCATCGCCCACGTTGGTGCCTACATTTGGTGAACCGAACGTGATAACTCATCGGATTTACAAATTTCAATTGGAGAACAGAAACATTTTACCAGGTACGTGAAAGAATGAGTGAACCCGTGGTCGGCCACATGGCCGTCAAGCCGCCGCCATTTTGGACCGAAAGCCCAGCACTTTGGTTCGCCCAGTTGGAGAGCCAATTCGTCCTCGCGAATATAACCCAAGATGAAACGAAATACAGCCATGTAGTCGCGAGTTTATCTGAACGTATGGCTACCGAAGTTCAAGACATTTTGGCCGCTCCTCCGAATACTGACAAATACAAAACGATTAAACGGGCACTGATCGACCGCTTGTCCCAGTCCGAAGCCCAACGCCTCGAAAAGCTTATACGTACCGAAGAGCTCGGCGACCGCACACCATCGCAATTTCTTCGACGCCTAAGAACTCTCGCAGGTCATACGGTTACCGAGGACCTACTCAGAAGTATTTGGTTGTCCCGTCTTCCCACCGATATACAGAAGATACTAACCGTATCCGAGGGCACACTCGAATCTCTCGCTAAGATCGCCGACCGCCTTAGCGAAATGTACCCCTCGACACCGAATATCTCCGCCACGTCTACGGTCTCTGCCACGGTCGATCCCAGAATCGCCGCGCTCGAAGTGCAAATCTCCGAACTCTCAAAACAAATTTCCGAGATGTCACGACAATATGGCCGTTCTCCACCTCGCCGCCGTTCCTCGAGCCGTGGAAGACTCGGTCGACGCTCCCCACCTAACACCTTCCCGAACAATATCTGCTGGTACCACGCCAAATTTGGCGCGAATGCCCGACGCTGCCGACCACCTTGTTTGATGGGAAACGAGAACGGGAGTCAGTAGAGACGGCGACTGATTCCAAAAATTTAAGCCGTCGCTTATTCATCACAGATAGTATGTCCAAAGTCGCATTCTTAATCAACACCGGCGCCGATGTCTCCGTTTATCCAGCTTCACGCCTTCCAAAGCGCTGTGTAGAAGACTATCAACTCTTCGCAGCAAATGGCACAGCAATCAAGACATACGGCTACGCAACAATCACGCCAGACTTCTCTCTTCGACGAAACTTTACATGCCGATTCATTGTAGCCGACGTCACACAACCATTGATCGATGCCGATTTTTTTATCTCATTATGGACTTCTCCCAGAACTTCGCATCAAACGTCTCATCGACTCAACAACGAAACTGGTCAGCCAAGGACATATCCTCAGCGTCACTGCACCGTCAGTACGAACTATTGCCGGCAACTCTCCTTATCATCGACTACTGAGCGAGTTTCCCGAGATAACACGTCCATCTCCAACCATCGCACCCGTCCGACACTCCACCGTCCATCATATTATCACGACGCCTGGACAACCAGTGCGCTGCAAACCCCGGCGACTTGCGCCGGACAAATACATTCTGGCTAAGCGCGAGTTTGAATTCATGCTCGCTCAAGGGATCTGCCGACCGTCCACCAGCAGTTGGTCATCGCCATTACACCTCGTCCCAAAGAAGAACGACCAGTGGCGACCCTGCGGTGACTACCGTCTACTCAACGCACGAACTGTACCCGACCGTTATCCGGTTCCTCACATAGAGGACTTCGCATCCACTCTTCACGGTTGTGGGTACTTCTCAACCGTCGACCTTGTCCGTGCTTTCCACCACATCCCTATAGCCCCAGAGGATATCCCGAAAACGGCCGTCACCACACCGTTTGGACTATACGAGTTCAACTTCATGTCTTTTGGTTTGTGTAACGCTGCGCAAACATTCCAGCGCTTCATGGACGAAGTTACTCGTGACCTCGAATTTTGTTACGTCTTCATCGACGACATACTTATAGCGTCCCGAAACGAAACCGAACATCTGCAGCACCTACGCAAGTTATTTACCAGACTTCGTGACTATGGTGTTGTAATCAACGCATCAAAATGCGTATTCGGGAAGCAAGAAGTACAATTCCTCGGGTACCTGGTCAACCCAAAAGGAATCCGCCCACTTCCGCAAAAAGTCAAGGCAATTATCGAGTTCGCTAAACCAGCCTTTGTCGCCGACCCTACAACTTCTGCCCCAACCAGCACGGAAGAGAGACCCCCACCACCAACGGACCTCGACGAGACCCAACCACCGGTCACAACCCGCTCTGGACGACCGGTACGCTTCAACCTGAAGTATCGTTGACACTCGCGTGGGAGTACTGAGGCGCTAACGCCTACAGTCGCCACCAGAGGGCCTCCCGCGGATGACGTGAGCGTTTTGTCAGACCACCGCGCTTATTCGACCTGCCACGAGCCAGTTCAGGTGTGTTCGATAAGAGCTCCGCTACTTACGACTAAACAAAGGATTGTAGTGCCAATGGACCATCGCCCACGTTGGTGCCTACAATTGCGATTTCCGAACCCTCGACTTAATTAAACATATATATAAAAAATCTATTAATTCAAAAAATTAAAACACTATTGGATGTCACCTTTGACATTCGAAAATAGCTTTAAATAACTTTACCGAAGTAAAATTCGCGCACTAGAACTTTGATATCAAATTTCATTCATCGTTCTAAACTCCCATAAAAAAAACAATTAGGCATTAATCGCACGTCATTAATTTTAAACATTAATTAAAATCAGTACAAAATTTTTTCGCACGAGTAAAACCTTTTGAAAAAATTTGAGTGATAAACATTTCAAAAATTTTTTTCAAAAAAAAAAATTCCCGCGTTTTTTTTCTATTTCAGCTTTCCGAGCATGAGATGTAAACCTCCGACCATAATTCTTGTCTAACAGCCGATCAATTGCGCATGGGCGAAAGCAGTTCACTTGATAAGCCAGGATGTCCTACCTGTTATCAAAGGCGTTCGGAGTGGACTGATCTGATTTGCCCCGTAATAGGGGTGAGGAAATCGAGTCGGAGGAACTTCTGTGTGCAGTCAAGCGTCCTACAGGTTGACATTACTAGTCGCTCATCAACGCTTGCTTGGCATTCGGCGTTTTTATTTTAAAATCGTAAAATCACGGCCCTGATTATCACAAATTATGATTCTATCTGTTATTTTGATACTTTTCTTTCTTTTTAAAATTTTATTTATTTTATTTGACTGTAATTAGAGACGATACGGCTTTAAAATAAAAGATCAGCTTTCTCTTGCCAACAAATTATCTCAACTTTCACCAATTGTCGTCGGTTCCTTTGTAATCGGATAGGAATTGACCGTATTTCAAATTCCAGTGTTAATTGTTTATTGCTTTTGCGGTAATACTAGTAGACAGGGAGAGTCCCTTAATGAACCGCCAATTGTTTTATGACTGTTTAAACTACTTCTCCCACTTGTTATTCTTAGTAAGTAGAGAAGTCTGTCAAGGTCGGTTAAGGTTTATTACTTTCACAACAGGGTGTCAAGTGAGCCGCCACCCAACACACCATTAACGACAACAACGCGCGAAGTATCACGTTACTCTCTAAACAAAACCTCCCTTCCTTGTTGGAGGTGGGTCAGATGTCAAGGTTACTGTTTAATTTCATTAAACAGAATGTTGTCCACGATATTTAATATATCAGTTTTGTCAGAACTGTTTATTTTTAATACATTTTTTATAATTTATTTCCGCTTGTGTTATAAAATTGTTTTTATCGTGTTCTAAATCGATTTCTTTTAAATTATACTTGTATAAAGTTTATGAATTAAAATTGCAATGAACATACCCTTGTTTGTATAATGATTACATATTTCTTGCGAGTTCAAGTTTGCAAAAAATGTTTTCATATCTCTTCTTCGTCATTATATACATATACAGGTATACCTCGCCTTACGTCGGTAATTGGTTCCAGGAAAACGACGTAAGTCGAAAAACGACGTAAGTCGAATTTACCTGTCTCCGAATCTACTTATCACTAGGAAAGCATTTTAAATAATATATGGTTAATAAAAATCTATTTTAAGCTTACAAACAAATAAATTTTAGTTTTTAATATAGTACAAAAAAAGTAATCTAAATTTACGAATGCGTGTACTGTAAATACAGTACATACTTGTATATATTTTAATATGATTTTATGTGCTTTAAACGTTTATCTAGTGATATTACGACTTCAATATTTGTGGCGGACAGACGTAAAGTCGAATAAAATGACTTAAACTTGATTTTTATTTTTCCATATACTTTTTTAACAAGCGACGTATAATCGGGAACAACGTAACTCGAAACCGACGTAAGTCGAGGTATGCCTGTATTAATAAAATATATTGTCATTTTATAAACAGATCTCATTGTAATCAAATTTTAGTTATTACATTTTTAAATTCACATTATATTTGAGTCAACATTTTACATTTTATACGTATTCAGGTATCACATGATATGTCATTCATTTCAATAAATAATACTTACGTTATAAGTATTTTTATATGTTTTAATTTTCTTTTACATGTTCTTAAATATTATGTAAAGAGAATGGGAACTAATCTACGAATGGCAGCTTTCCTCGAATCACATAGAATTTCTACGGGAAAGCCATCATTGAATGCATGAAGTTGCCTCTAACGTTGTTTATTCGGGAAAGATGCCATTCAGGAACAATGGGCATTCAACAACTGATTTACGTAATATGATTCATTTATCAGAATATTCGAAGTGAAAACCTATAGCAATTGGAAGGAGACCGTGGCCGTAAATAATGACAGATTTTAGTCAATATTATTTATGTCTGTTACCATGAAATTAAATTCAATTGTCCAGGGAATCGAGAGTATATAAAGGCTTTGCTGAAAGTGCTGGATTGATGAGCATGCCTAAAGCACTGAGCAACGACTTGCGTGAGCGCATCATAGCTCACAGAGCGGAAGGCAAAACGATAGCGGATATCACGCAGTGTCTGCGTATATCAACAAGAACGGTATCTAGAATAATCAAAAAACATCAGGACACCGCCTCTGTGTCTGCAGGGCAATCGTCCAGACGCCCGCGATTAACGACTCCCAATCAGGATGAGCAGCTGAGAGCGGCAAGCCGGGCGAACCCTTTCGCTACCACCTCATCGCATAGAATGGCGATGGAACTAAATGTGTCTACAAACACAGTAAAGAGAAGGTATGTAACATTTGTAGTATAATATTGCAAGTTTCCAACGAAATGAGTTTCGATCGCTATGTTTAACCTCCGGACAATTTTTTTAACGTGCTGTTGCGTATACAGAAATGTAGGAAACAGGATAATATATATGTTTTTTATTCATAGGTTGCGAGAGGGCAAACTGTATGGAAGGAAGGCGGCAAAGAAAGAAAATCTTACCCTAGGCAACCAAATAGACAAGTTGGGGTTCGCCTATGCATATCAGGAGTGAGATGCCGACAACTGGAAAAACATCATATTTTCAGATGAAAAGATTTTTTCGTCGGCAAACACCGGGCCTGTGTGGGTGCGTCGCCCACCCTGTACCAGACATCATCGTGAGTACGTGTGGCGCACCCAAAGAAGCGGGTGTTTTACAATTTGTGAGTGTTTTAATGTTGTGTTTTTGTATCATTAAACCTTTGAACATGACAACTTATCTGCTTGTGCATTATATAAATCACAACTTTATTGACTTTTTCTGTTTACAGGTATATGGGGATGGATGTCCTCTGCTGGTCCCGGGGAGTTGGTCCGCATAGATGGTCACCTCACAGCCTTGCAATACATTGAAATCCTCAAGCAGGTATTATTGCCGATGGTGAGGGCCGTCTACGGAGAAGAACGTTTCTTCTTCGTTCATGACTGCTCCCCAGTCCACACAGCTGGCATTGTAGAAACATGGATGCAACAACATCTGCAAGTTGCGAACATGAGATGGCCAGGGAGAGGGGCGGACTCAATCCAATTGAGCACGTTTGGTCCGACATTGACCGCGACCCCGTTAACGTAGCCAATCTCAACGACCTTTGGGACATCGTCTCTGGTCATTGGGAAAGACTGCGTGAAGGCATGCTTTGTCAAAATCTTGTGGCAAGCATGCCCTCGCGTCTTAATGCGGTCGTGGACAAGGTCGGATATTGGACGAGGTTCTAACCTCCTCCCCGCCATTTGCATTTTTTTTTGTTGTTACCGGTATGGTACTGTACTGTATGTTATGTTCTGTTAATGAATCATCCATGTATTGATTAATTGCTATGTTCTGTTAACGAGTCATCGACGTATTGCTTAATTGCTATGTTCTGTTAACGAGTCATCGAAGTAATGATTAATTGCTATGTTCTGTTAATGAGTTGTTTGTAACTTAACTTAATAAATGTATTTACTTATTTCTAATCTGTGTGTTTTGCAAACTAGTCATAACATCGTTGCACAATTAATTGTTATAACAGTTATAACTGTTACTTGACAATAATGTGCATTGCTTGCACATTGATCGCTTAGATATACTTGTTATCTCTGATTCGCGAATCTGATATAGGTGGGTAATGAGTTACGGCCAATACGCTTTATGCAGGGTATGACCAACAAGAATGGCCAATCAAGCAAGTAGAACAAGGTGTGGCTAACACCTTTTAACAAATCATGTTCAAGGAAATTTTCCAATGTTTTATTGGATAATAAAAAACCAATACATTTCGTGTTTTGTCTGTCAACTTGCAAAACGTAATCACTAACCAATAAAGTGGAGAGGTTGCGAAAAGGAGAGGGGAAAGCTGCCATTCGTAGATTAGATCCCATTCTCTTTACATAATAATTAAGAACATGTAAAAGAAAATTAAAACATATAAAAATAGTTATAACGTATATAGTATGGAATGAAACGAATGACATATCATGTGATACCTGAATACTTATAAAATGTAAAAGGTTGACTCAAATATAATGCAAATTTAAAAATGTAATAACAAAAATTATACAAACAACGGAATGTTCATTGCAATTTTAATTCATAAACTTTATATAAGTATAAGTTATAACAAATCGATTTAGAACATGATAAAAACAAATTTATAACCGAGGCAAAAATAAATTATAAAAAATGTATTAAAAATAAACATTTCTGACAAAACTTATTCTTAAATATAAATGACAACATTCTGTTCAATAGAATTAAACCTTGACATCTGACCCGCCTCCGACAAGGAAGGGAGTTTTCGTTTACAGAGTAATGTGATACTTTTCGCGTTGTTGTCGTTAATGGTGGGTGTGGGTGGCGGCTCACTTGACACCCTGTTGTGAAAGTAATAAACTTTAACCGACCTTGACAGACGTGTCTAGTTACTAAGAATAACAAGTGGGGAGAAGTTCTTTAAACGGTAATAAAACGCGGTTCATTAAGGGACTATCCCGCTCTACTAGTATTACCGCAATAGCAATAAACACTTAACACTGGACTTTAAAACACGGTTGATTCCTATCCAATTACAAAGGAACTGACGACAATCGGTGATAGTTGAGATTAATCTGTTGGCAAGAGAAAGCTGATCTATTTATTTTAAAGCCGTATCGTCTATAATTACAGGAAAATAAAGTAATTAAAACATTATAAATAAACAAAAGTATCAAAATAACAGATAAAATAATAATTTCTGATAATCTGTTGCCGCGATTTTACGATTTTAAAATAAAAACGGCAAACGCTAAGCAAACAGTACATCAGTGAAAACTATATCACCTATTAGTTTTTATTTGTTTTAGTAACATCAGAAATGTCGCAAGTTCGAAAAAAATTATCAGGAGCACAAAACTTGAAGCGAAAAAACAAAGAGAAGCTAATAACGAAAAAAAGCGCCCAACAGCTAGCCAAATATCTTAAAATTGAAGAAAAACCATGTTCAAGTCAACCAACAGACGACTGCATAATTACTTCAGAGAATATTCCAGATAATGTGGCGGAGAGTCAGCATATACCCGATGTAGAAACATGTAATGCTACTCCATTGGCTGCAGAAGTAACAGCCATATCAACGACCACAGAAATATCTGTAGATATTGCTCACTGGCTGTCATCTTTGTCATTCAAAACAATAGACCTTATCATATTGCAGGGCCCACATAACGGTAAACTGGCAGATAAAGATTATCCACGGAATAAAAAAGGGCGCCATTTTTCTAATGCACACTTTCGACAAGTCATGTCAAATAGCGAAATTTATGATAGGAAATGATTGATATATTCAAATTCTACACAGAAGATTTATTGTTTTTGCTGCTATATATTTAAGCGGTCTAAACCTTGTAAACTCGGTAACGCCAGCTTTGATAATTGGTCACATGTATCCCTGGTACTAAAAACCCATGAAAGTTCAGACGACCACCAGTCAGCTTTATCAATTTGGCTCGAAACTTCAAAAAGATTAAGGACATGTTCTGGAATTGACAAAGCCCTTCAAATGCAACTGGAGATTGATAAATGTAGATGGTCTTCTGTGCTGGAAAGAATAGTAGCAATCACACTTTTTTTTTGGCGGAACACAATCTATCTTTTCATGGCAGCAGTGACAAATTAAATACACCAAAGAATGGCAACTTTCTAGGTTTAGTCCAATTATTGAAAAAATTTGATCCAGTCATGACAGAGCATTTGCGACGGATAATGCACAAGGAAACCAATCACTACTATTTCAGTAAAAATATACAAAATGAAGCAATACATTTATTAGGAAATGAAATCAGAGAGCAGATCATATCAAAAATTAAAAAAGCTAAATATTTCTCGATTATTTTAGATTGCACACCTGATATAAGTCACACCGAACGAGCGTCACATTTAGGTTTTTTGATGATGATGAATTTTGTGTGTGTGAATGCTTTTTGACTTATAAACCTTTGACAGACTCCAGCGGAAAAGAGTTAACAGGCATATTTTTGGATGAAATTGTCGATAAATACAACATTGATATGAATGATTGTAGAGGACAAGGTTATGACAATGAAGCTAATATGTTGGACAACAAAAAAGAGTTCAGAGTCGCATAACTGAAAAGTTTCCCCGGGCTTTTTTTAATCCTTGTGGCTGCCACAATCTCAACCTTATTGTGGCTGATGCAGTTAAAACTTCAGTCAAATCAGTTTCATTATTCGGTATCCTCCAGCGCTTGTTTGTGTTTTTTTCAAACTCAACAAAGAGATGGGAAGTTATTTCAAAACAAGTGAAGAGCTTAACTTTAAAAAAAGTGTGTGAAACAAGATGGGAAAGTAAAGTCAACAGCTTGCAAGCGATGTGGTATCAGTACGCCGAAGTAAAAAGTACATTGGAAGAAGAATATCGACAGTCAACTGATCCCTTGGCAAGTTCAGAAGCTAAATCGCTTGCAGATAATTTGGAGAAGTTCGAGTTTTTGCTGTCGTTAGTCATTTGGTACGACGTTTTATTCCACGTCAATCTTGTCAGCAAATCCATGCAATCAGAGCGGGTAGACCTGTCAGATGCAACAAAAATGATGCACAAATGTTTGAAATTTTTGAAAGAATATAGAGACAAAGGATTAACAAAGGCTCTCATTGCAGCTAAGGACATAGCTGAAGAAGCTGAAATAAGCCCGGAGTTTGAAACAATCTGCGCACGAAAAAGAAGAAAATGTTCCCATATTAAAATGAAGATGACATGCCAATGGACCCAGGAACGTTATTCAGAACAAATGTTTTCTATCCTATGTTAGACACTGCTATGAACTTGTAAGGAACCAAGTCCGAGCGTTTTTATTTACTTTTATTTTGCTTTTGTTATATTTTTGTTTGGGGCTTATGTTTAGTTAGGACAAAGGTTTCCTCACCCGTCACCTTAGAAAGTTAAAAAAGAGAAGATAAAACCAACTCACTGACGAAAAAGGAAAGCGCCATAGCTAGCATTCGCACTCACGTGCATGCCCGAGCGGCAGATAGTAAGCCCGCACTAAAAGGGGGGAAAAGACCCACAGACTTTAGGAACTTGTTAAACCTTAAAGGAAACATCCCGATTATTGTTCAACAACAAACTGTAAAAGGTTAACAAGTATTGTCGGGAATTAAGCTACCAGATAAGCAAGAAAAAAAGGTAATGTTACGTGTAAGTATGTAAATGAGGGGAGTGTCTCACTTAGAAACTGTGACGTCACCTCAGACTATAAATAGCATAGCTCAAGTGAAGACGGCAGAGGTGAACTCCTGTAAAGAATAAGCATTGGTGTGCTAGTAGCAGTAAACGAGGTGTCCAATAGGAAATAGTCCAAGGCGATTGCAGTATTCGATTTGTGGATCGAGGAATAGGAAAAGTCTTGAGTTGAGAAAAAGGTTCATAGTATACTTGAGGTGACGGTTAGAATTTGTAGTTGTAAGAGATTTTGTACCTAAGTTAAGGATTGACTTTTTGTCGGAATTCCAAGAGGAATAGTTCTAAGTTAGAATAAGATTGAGTTTTGTCGGGTTGACTTTTGGATTTGATTTTATTGAATAAATTTCTTATAAATATTGTACATAGTTATTTCTAAAATCGTTATTAAACATTTTTTTTGATTTATTGACTAACTTGTCCTTAATTTATTTCAATGCATGTGAAAAGTCCAGGCCTGGCAACTAACAAACACGAACCTGTAAAATACCCATTAGGTACTGGCTCTTTCCGGAGCAAAAATCGTTGTAGAGCAATAAATTAAAAATAGTACTTTACAAACTCAATAGAGACACACTTCACACAACTTACTACAATTAATGAGACTTGGTCTTTCCTCTATGATTTGAATAAGTTACTAACTAACTAACTAACTTAGTTTTTTATTGACACAAGAGCCATACAGGCCATACTGCGCCATGACACATGGTACAATTTCAGATATATAATACATAGAAAGACACATATATAAACATAAAAACAAAACATAACAGTTTAACCATTAAACAGCCAATGGTAATATAAATAAATAAATAAACAACAACGAAAAATATATATAATAATTTAAATAGGTAACACGAAGTAAATAAACCTGTACAATAAATAAATAACCAAATTTCTCTACACATATTAATAACTTTCAGAAAGTCCAATATATTGTCCAAATTTAGACTCTGGCCCAAAATCTCTCTAAAGCTTGCATTTCCAAAATGCTGTCTACGACTCTGGTCAAAAGCAACACAGTTGCAAAATATGTGTTTAACACTTACAGTACACTTGCAGTGCTGACATACTGGTTCGTCATCTCTCTTCAAAAGGTATTGATGAGTCAGTCGAGTGTGTCCAATTCTCAACCGAGTAAGGACAACTTCAGATCTCCTATCATACTGCCTATTGTGTGTCCAATTTTCTACTAAAGGTTTGATCTCGTATAGTTTATTGTGAGTTTGTGCATTCCACATATTTTGCCATCTCTCTGCTAGTTGTTTTTTAACGACTAGCTTCAAACCACCTCCTTCAATATGCATTGTATGCTGTGAAGGACTTGCTGACTTAGCAGCGGCATCAGCTTCTTCATTTCCTCTTATTCCTACGTGGCCTGGGACCCAACAAAATTTTATAGAGAAATTCCTTGCAAGAAAATGACAAATTAGTTTCTGAATTTTAATAACTATGGAGTGAGAACTAGGTTCATACGACATCAAAGCCTGAAGTGCACTAACTGAGTCAGTGTAAATCACGCAGCAACGATGACCTTTTCTATTTATGTATTTTAGGGCTAAATAAATAGCCTGCAACTCCGCAGAAAAAATGGAAGAATTTGATGCTATTTGTTCTGCCACAATTTCATTTTGGCAGACAAAGGCTAAGCCAACATAGTTATCCGATTTCGATCCATCAGTAAAATAGGAATTAAATTCCTGTCACAATGTTGAATTTCTGCGAAGCGCTGTCTATAGACGTAGTCTGGCGTTGTTTCTTTCAGAAACTGCTTTAAGCTTAAATCAACATCTATCGCTGGGGTTGACCAAGGTGGTATACTATTAACCTCAACCTGTGAGATGTTGCTTGTGTTAAGGTCAATTGTGCTGCTTACATTCTCCATTCTTATGATGAATGTAGGGACACTACTTCGGTGAGCTTCAAATAACCTTTTCAGCTGAGTATCTGATACTGTACAATCAACTGAAGGTTTAGTATGCAATTTCTGTTTTATATAATAAAAAAGAGACAACTGTTCTCTCCTGAGAGATAGTGGAGGCTCATAAGCATCCACATACAAACTTTGGACAGGAGAAGTTCGAAATGCACCAGTGCACAAACGTAATGCTTGATGGTGGATTGGATCCAGCATCCGAAGAGTAGATTCTCGCGCAGAGCCATAAACAATGCATCCGTAATCCAGCTTTGAGCGGACAAGGGCCCTGTAAATCCTGAGCATAGAAACTTTGTCTGCTCCCCAGGATAAGCAGCACAGTACCTTTAAAAGGTTCAA